CCAATGACTTTTATATTTTATGTGACGCACTTTGAATTGTTTTGGTGTTAAAACAAATAACTTTGCTGTTCCTTTACTCTTGAAATCCTAATTTAAAGAAAGATAATTGTAACGTCTGACTCTTATCCTCTCTCATATCATGTTCACTGTCAGACCTGTGAGACAGTAACACCTGCGTGAAGGTGTTGAGCCTCAGATCAGATCTGCTCTCTATGTTTAGAAGATGACTCTGCAGCTTTATCACACTTTACATAATAATAAGACGCTGAAGTACACAGTGACACCATCACGTTTTAGGTGAAGACTTGCTTACATGAGCAGACCATAGATTAGGCCAACACAGATAGATTATCTGGGGAGGAGCCCTAATATTAGGATTCAAAGAATGATTAGAGGAGTTATGTAACAACATTAATGAGCGTCTTTGTCTGACACTTGAAAACAAGTCCAACGAGACGCATCTATCAGCTGTTCTGCCACTGATCTTCAGTTTATCCCGTATTTTGATTTTTCAATTAGGAAGTTTAACGTTTAAACGTGTGAATTTCATCATGAATATAAGCATCATGTTTTAAAATAAAGTGATTTAAAAAAAAAAAACAAGTGGTAGGCCATGTTTGCTAACGACCTCCTGCTGTCACACACCTGATTACATCACCACCACCCAACAGCATCAACCTCACCTGCCTGAGCACATATGAAAGAGGATAAACACACACACACACACACACACACACACACACACACACACACACACACACACAAACACACACACGGGATCATGGAGGAAACTCAAGGAGGAGTGTGGAGATGAGGGGGGGCTGTTAAATCTGATCTGACCAGTGCTGACGACAGCAAAGCTGCTGCGTCCTCACATCAGCCCTGCATCAGTGTGTGTCTGTGTGTGTGTGTGTGTGTGTGTGTGTGTGTGTTACATAACAGTGTGTTAAAGCTGCCTTTGGGATCTGACTGTGGCGGCTGAGCCTCTTACCTGTGTGTCAGGTGGAAAACTTCAGCAGCAGATCTTCATCTTCCACGTCTCTCATCTCAGGGAATGTCAAGTTGAAGAAGCACATGAGTCCGTCAACATTTTTAAAGTTGAATTAAGAGTTTGTTGTGCTGCTTTTTTACATCTTATTGTGTTTCCTGCTCCAATAAATCAACCAAACAAAAGTTCCAGTCACTCTGTCAAAGTGTTTTAAAAACTATATGTATTTATTGAATGAATTATTTATGATTTTTTAGCTTTACCTTTTTCTTTAACACTACTATCAGACACATTTTCCCCTGCAACACAACAAATATTAAATTTACTACACTCAGCTCCTGTCAGGTAGTTTCAGCCCAGGGTGAAAAAAGAAAACTAACAATTAGATTTAAAACAAATCAGCTGCTTTTGTATTGTGTTAAATTCACACCTTGAGCCTGAACCATAACATGCAGGATGTCGGACACAGTATTTTTGGTGCACAGAAAATCCTCTCACTTTATATGACATGTATATAAACTCATTAGCCTTGCTTCATGGCTCTATAAAAGTAGATAAACTGACAAATGACTATAACTGCTTGAAAATAACAAAATCAAATGTACTGTCGAAAAAAAAAACCCTTTCACTTGGTTTGCCCCAGTGATGTCACCCATGACGTCACTAAGGGTATAAATATCAGGAGGTGCCGGGCGGTCGGGAGTAAAACATTTTTCTAAGAAATAT